CCAGGAGACACAATCCACAAGGGTGAAGTCCCACAACAATCATGTAATTTACTCCACTTAACAGCAGTGCAGAAATACTTCTGAAGGACCAGCCATGGCTGGTGATGCCAGACCCCTCTGAACAGCTTTGTGTGCCAAGGAACTCAGTGAAACAGAGACAAAAGGGGCTGGATTTTGCTTGTGTTTGCACAGATTTACAAGGTGAGCCACCTCATGAGCTATGAGCATGGGAAGGCCCTAAAGTGCTGCCTGGTTTTACTGTCAAACCTAGTGAGAAGCAGCTCAGATGAAGAGGAAGTTCCCAGGCTTGCACAGGGTGGTTTTGGGAAGCAAGGGACTCCTCAGCATCAGGAAGAATGGATCCAACTGGTCTGTGTGTGCCTTTCAATCTGACTATCATGGAAACAAACCCTAAAGACCAAGGTCCCACACCCTCTTCCCAAGAGCTGTGATGGGCACAAAGGCACACCCAGCAGCAGGGGCAGTGCAAAGGTCTTTCCCCTGCAGCTTCTCCCTGCCTGGCCTGCCTTGCTCTGAGCCAGAGAGAGTCGGTTTGGAGCACGAGCTTGGCAGGATACTGCAAAAACTGGGATCAGAGCTGCTTCCCAGCTGGAGTCTAAAATAACTATGAGGTTACCTCCCCAGGGGCACAGCCAGGACAATGCTTGATGTGTTCCTCTCCCAGCTTGCCCCAGTCTTGCCTGGCTTCCCCTTCCCCTTTCTTCCAAGCTTCCTTCACTGCAGGAACTTCATCCCTGCTGAGGGGAAAGAGAGGGCTGAGCTTCACCTCCACTTCTTCCTTTCACAGAATCACCAAGGCTGGAAAAGACCTTGAAGATCATCAAGTCCAGCCTAGGACCTGACACCACCTTGGTGTGCATGTTCCATGGGAGATGCTTTGCTAGCCACCTCCAGAGAGCCTCTGGCCACGCCTGGCTCACAGAGGCTGCCCAGTACCCCTGCACCACCCATACCCCACCATCCTACCAGGAGTGCTCCTTGTCTCCCTGCACTGGGAACAAGATTCCCCAAATCAGGCATAGGGACACGTCTGGAAAATGACTCTAACATGAACTGCAAGCAAATACTTGAAGGGCTGGATCAAATCCATAAACCCCAGGATCAACCCATATAAAGCCTCCTCCTTCTCCAGAGGTGGGAGAGAAGCCTGTTCCCACAGAGACTCCTGTTCAGAGGTGAAAGCAGACCTGACAAAACGCAGCTGATTTCCCTTGGGGGATGAAAAGTTTCACCACCAGGATTCCAAAAGTACCTTCTAGCTGTCAGCTGGTTCTTCCTTCCAGGATGATGGCTGAACTGCTCCATCATTCTTTGTATCACCAGCCAAGCTTGGAAAGTCTTTGGACCCAATATCGGTTGTTCCCCAATACCAGCTCACAACAACCTATCCCAAGGACACACAAATTAGTTTCTTTGGGTAGACAACTGTTATCTCATGCCCATCCTAAGTGAGATGGGGTTGGCCACTCCAGGAGCCCCCAGGCCAGGCATGAAGAAACACCTCCCATGTCCTCCTTCATCTCTATTTAATGCAGTAGCTACTGGGAAGCCTTCTGCTCTGCTGCCCACAGCTCCAGCCCTCATGTATGATGGATGTCACACAGTGGTGGTGTGGGCAAACAGCAGCACGAGCTTCTACAGAAATATTTACCTTGCTCTCTGCTGCCTTCGGGCCTTGGGATGCATCTGCTCCCAGCCTCCTGGGAACCAGTGCTTTCAGCTTCATGGATCAGGCAGCATCCGACATTACCTCTCTCTCCCAGCTGGTTTCAGCCCAGAACCTTCTTTTGCTGCAGGCTGTAGTTCTCAGACCCCCACCCTGGCTGGCATTTACTGTCTGGGGAAACTAGGTATGACAGCAAAGTAGAAAATTTTTTAGAAAAAAGGTAAAAAATCCTCTTTGCTCTCCTAATATCTCACCTAAATCTCTCCTCTTTCAGCTTGAAACCCTTCTCCCTCATCCTATCACTCCACACCCTTGTAAAAAAGCTCCTCCCCAGCTTTCCTGGAGCCCCTTCAGGCACTGGAAGGTGCTCTAAGCTCTCCCCAGAATCTTCTCCTCTCCACACTGAACAACCCCAACTACCTCAGCCTGTCTCCATAGGAGAGGTGCTCCATCCAACCTTCTGACAATCCTCATGGCCCATCTTCACCATCTGTTGCTCGAGTCCTCTGAAGTGCTGTGTCACCAGGCTGCACAAATCCACAAACCACCCTGAAAACCAGCCTGCAGCACCCACTGGAGCTGGCCCAGGATGCTCCTTCAAGAAAGGGATGATGCTGAGGAACCAGCCAGGCTAGTGGCTGAACCCACCACAGGGCCCAGAGCTGCCCAGCCCACCAACCTCTCCAGTACCTGGGAGGCTGCAGGCACATCCATGGCAGGAGCTGAATGAAAGGTGGAATCCTGAAGGCTGTGGGTGCTTCTGGGCTGGGGTGGCTGCACTCCTGGCTGCTGGCTGTTTCAGTGGGAGTGGCACCTCCAATTCTTTCAGGCTACACATCCTGCACGCAGCAGCCCCCAGCATCAGAGGGGACAATATCAAGCCCAAAACCATCATACACAGAAGAAGTGTTCGCTGGGGGCTGATCATCACCCAGCAGCAGCTCAGATCTCCCTGAGCAGAGGGCTTCTTACAGGAGCCTCAGCCTAGTGTCCAAGCCAGACTGCACCCCAAACTGATGTGGAAGCTCAGCTGCACCCTTCTCCAGCCCTCCAAGCCTCAGCTGTTCACCAAAGGCTGCGGACAGAGGTCCCCAGGCTGAGCACTGCACGACTCACAGGAGCAAGGAAAAGCAGGTACAAGCTGAGAAAGCTCCTCTGTGGGAGCCTTGGAGGGGCTCTGCCTTCTTCTGGTGTGGGAAAATATGCAGAAGGTCTTTCCACCACCTCAACTGCACAGCTTGCAACTGCCTCCATCACACACGTGTTCTGGTTGGAAAAGGCTCTTTCAGATCAAGTCCAACCACTCAAATAACTCCACAGAGCCAAGAGCTTAAACCATGTCCCCCAGCACCACATTGCTCCAACCTCCTGCAGGCAGTTGTAGAGGGGTTTGTTTCCCTTGTCTCCAGGCTGAACACCCCTCAGCTGCTCAGCAGGTTTGTGCTCCAGCCCCTTCCTCAGCTCCACTGCCCTTCTCTGGCCACACTCCAGCCCCTCCACGTCCTCCTGGTGCTGAGGGGCCCAGAACTGAACACAGTGCTCAAGCTGTGGCCTCCCCAGCACACCAGGTTGAGCCCTGCCAGCCTCCATCCCAGGCCGCTGCCAACCCTTCCATGCTTGAGCCAGGGAAGAGAGACAACCAGCAAGGGAGATGGCTGGGGCTCAGCTCCAAAACCATTGGCTGAAGCCAACAGGATGAGAGAGTTCACATGAAACCAAAGCTGGACACACAGGAGGAAGCTTTTTTGTTTTTCAGGTTTCTTAAAGGCTTGCTGTGCAGCCTTTTTGTCCCTTCCCATAGGATGCTACTTTGGGAAGGTAAGAGGGTTGGGTTTTGTTCTCATCCACTGGAGTGGCATAAAAATAAATCTGTCAATCACAAGTACATAGATCCAGGCTGTATTTATTTTCTGTGGGAAAATAACACTATCAGTACTTAAAAGGATCATGTTAATTGCTTCCTTTATCTTATGGGGACTTATTTTTGTCCAGTAAATCCAAATTCATCTCCATAGCTTAGGCAGCTCCACAACTTGTCTGCAGGTAGGGCTGATACACCAGCCTGCTCCTGCTGTTTGAGGACAAGCCCTGCTGCCTTTCTCAGGTACTTCAGACCCCATTCCCCAGGAGAAAAACTGCTTATCAGCCAACCTGGGCATGTCCCATAGAGCCCAGCAAATCCCAGGGGTTGGTTTTTGCTCATCTGGAGTCTAAAAAGTGGGAACACCTGGGACACAGGGAAACCTGGTGATGGGGAAGGACCAGTGCAACACAAGAACACCACTCAAGGTTCATGTTCTTCCTAAAACACACAACAGCCATCCAGTGTGGCCACAGCCACTGGTGCTTGGCTGGGATGGCAGGAAATTCAACATCAGAGCTGAAAACTTTTCCTGTCTTCCCTTTTTTCTTTTGGACACACAAGTCTTGGGTCTGCATTGGATCACCCATGTAACTGAGAAGCTTTGGTGAAGCTGGAGGATGTTGGCCACCAGAAACCCAGCTGCTCTTCAGGGCAAGAGCTGCTTAGCACAGACACCATGAGGACTGAGGACTCCTGAAGTGTGGGAGCCAAGGAACAGCTGGGCAAGACACACCAAAACACACAATGAACAGCAGAACTGCAAAGATGGAGAACTTGCTCCTTGGCTTCTTGGCAGACTGCAGGATTTGCCCCACAAATGTCACACCTCCAACACATCAGCCTGGCTGCTGGTAGAGATCAACTCTTTTTAGCAACAGTTAAGTCTCTGAATGTCATTTAAAAGGCAGCAGCAGCCAGAAAAGGCCCAACCATTTCCAAGCTGACTCTCAGCATGACATGAAGGCAGGATGGGCAGACACTCAACTCACTGGAGAAAGAAGAGCAAGGAGGCTGGGTGGTCAGGATGAGAGACAGCAAGTGACAAATAGGATCTCTGAGATCCTCCAGCTGAGACACAACTCTTGGACACCAAGAGATAAAGACAAGGCTGCAGGGACCAGCTGACCCACCTCATGGCCCAGCTGTCTCCCATGCCCCGGGGAAACCTGCCCTCCAGCCCCACTGCCCTCCTCAGGCCCGGGACACCTCCACAGGTCCAGCACATGGAGCCTCAGCAGGGGGGTGATGGTGGGAAGTTGGTAAGAAAAATGACATTAAAACCAAACCAAAACCACACAAAAAAAACCCCAACAACCTCCCACTGAGCCAAAGCAACTGACATCAAGAACAAGGGCAGGACTTGGTGAGGGAAACGTTGGATATCTGCAACTTGAAGATAGCTCCTTCCCTGGGGAGTGGTCCTGCTTTGTCTGGTCCAGGCTCTCTCTCCTAGAGGCAGAAGTCCCTGTTGGAGGCATGAGGGTCATCTGGCAGCACTTCTACTCGGGGATGGAGTTGGCAAGGGGGAACCAGGCTCCCCCCCAGCACTGGGTGGTCTCCAGAGGGTCTCACAAGAGTGTTGGGCAAAATGCAGCCACTGCCAGGCTAGAAGAGAGAGAAACAACAGGGTGTTGAGGCACTTTGCAGCTTTTTACTAGTAGTGACGGGACTAGTGCCCAGAGGAGGCTGGTAGGAGAGGAGCAGTTTTGCTCCTGCTCTTCCACCCTGGTGACCCCATAACACACCCCCAACACCTTTGCCCAGGTCCTGTCTCACAAATTCTGACCTGTCCCTTCATTGGCAAGAGGCTGAATCCCAGAATCCCAGGGGCTGGAAGGGACCTGGAAAGCTCCCCCAGCCCAACCCCCCTGCCAGAGCAGGGGCACCCAGAGCACATCACACAGGAACGTGCCCAGGGGGGTTGGAATGTCTCCAGAGAAGGAGACTCCACAGCCTCTCTGGGCAGCCTGGCCCAGGGCTCTGGCACTCTCACAGCAAACAAGTTCTTCCTGAGATTCACATGGAACCTCCTGTGCTCCAGTTTGCACCCACTGCCCCTTGTCCTGTCACTGGACATCACTGCACAAAGCCTGGCTCTGCCCTCCTGACACTGCCCTGAACAGATTTGTGCCCATGGATGAGGTGGCCCCTCAGTCTCCTCTTCCCCAAGCCCAACAGCCCCAGCTCCCTCAGCCTTTCCTCAGCAGGGAGATGTTCCCCTCCCTCCAGCATCTCTGTGGCTCTGAAAGCACACAAAGGGTCAATGCATTCAACCTCCTCAGCAGGCACTAACTGACCTCCCAACCTGCTAACTGACCCCTGCAGAACCTGCCAAGGTGTGTCACAGCCCTGCAGCTCACTCCTTCAATGAGCTGTAAATGCAGCTGGACTGCATCTGAAGCAAGTGCCTGGGCCTTGCACCCCTGCTGCACTCCTCCTGGCAAGGCAAGACCATGCCAGCCACATGAGGTGGTCACCAAGCACTACAGAAGTGCTGGGGCTGTTCTCCACAGGTCCTACAAGCTCCCAAACCCATAGGCAGGATCAGAGTCAAGCTCTTCAACAAAGCTAGAAGGAACCTGGTGTGTTGGGTGGAAGAGATGGAGAATGGGAGCACCCCAGGTGGAGATTATGGCCTTCAGGAAGAACTAGAAGCTGCTTTGACAGCATGTGAAGGTTCCAGAAGTTAACAGGCCCCTGTGAGACAGCAGGGCACCAATCCCAGTGACAGAAGATGTCTGGCACCAAGTAAAAAGCTGCCTTGGGGACAGTAATTGCCAGGGCAGAGTAAGCAGGGAGACAGGACAGACTTGGACACATCAGCCTGTCTGGTGGTGCCCTGGGATGGGGAAGCATCACTCCAGAGATGGGCTCCTCCAGGATCTAGGCTGGCTCTCCACCTCTTTTAAATCCCTGCAGGGATGAGGACTCCACCACTGCCTTAAGCAGCCTGGGCCAAGGCCTGACAACCCTTTCAGAGAATAAACTGGTCCCAAGATCCAACCTAAACCTCCCCTGGTGCAACTTCAGGCTGCTTCCTCTTGTCCTATTGCTTGTGACTTGGGAGAAGAGACCAACCCCTCCTGACCCATCTCACTTCAACTTCCTTTCAGGGAGCCAGAAGGCTCAGCCTCCTTTGCTCCAGGCTGGACACCCCCAGTTCCCTCAGCTGCTCCTCGTCAAACTGAGACCTCCAGGAAATCCCAGTAGAGAAAAAGCTGAGGATGAGAGTGGAGAAAGGCCCTTACCTTGTGCCTGCTCTCCTGGCTCAGGGTGTATGTCCCATAGGAGTTCCCAGGAGTCTCCAAGGGGCTGACAACGTTCCCAAAATGCTCTGCAGATGAGCCTGGAAAAGGGTGCTGGGAGGTGGAGGGAGCAGGGCTGGGCTGCTTCTTGGGATTAAGCTGGTATGAGGAAGGGGAGACAAACCCAGGGTGTGGAGGCATCTCTTCCTGAGCCCCCAGGCTGCTGGCAGCTTCCACACTGCACAATCTGCTCAGGTTGAGGTGGGTGGTGGGCACATCAGGCCCTGCACCCAAGCAGCCCTGGTGCTGGGAGACAAAGTCTTGGCTGATGCCAGAAAGAAGAGGCTGAGCTGAGGAGCCCAGGAGTGGGGCAACATAGTCCTGCCATGGGCTGGGGCTGCTGCTGGGCAGGAGGTGTGGAGCAGAGCCAGGGCTGTGGCTGCACGACCTGTTCACTGGCAAGTGACAGTGTTTGGGCTGGCTGGGCAGGGAGAAGGAGTGACAGGGACCTTCTCGGGTGGGACACACAGTGGTGAAGTCACCCTCCAGCTGCTGAGCCCCTGCTGGCTCCCGTGGGCAGGGGACTCCTGGGGGTGAAGTGGGTGCTTTGTCCCATGAGGTGCCCTGTGCTGGCTGGAGGAAGCTGAGCAGACCTCCCACGGCAAGCCATCAGATGGCTCTTCCTCCTCCTCAGCTGGCACTGGTTGCTCCCAGAGGGGAGCAGGGGGCTGGCCTGGGGCCACGCTGGGCTGCATCACAGGCTGGGGCAAGAACTGAGAGTCCTTGTCCTCCACGTGGGCCTGGTAGGTGGCAGTCCCTCCCTGGGGGCTTGGGGAGGTGCCTGGCAGGGGACAGACCTGTTGTCCCCCTTCGGACTTGCTCACCAGAGTGGCGTGGATGTAGGAGAGGATCTCATTGCTGGCAAAGCAGCTGTTCAGGGCTGGGCTGTGCTCAGGGTCCCTGTTGACCATCACCATTTTCTCATTCAGCAGCAGGAGCTCCAGGTCCTCATGATTCAACCCCAGGCCCTCAAGTGCCCCGAATTGCTCACGGTTGGAGCAGCTCTCATTGCTTTTAATGGAGAGTGAGTCCAAGGTGGCCAAGACAGGGCAGTCCTGCTGCAAATCCACGAGCCCCTCTTTGAGGCTGTCCCCCTTCAAAGGAACTGCAGCCATGCTCACACTCCCAGCATCTCTTCCTGCATCCTCGAGGCGGTCCCCAAAACTGCTGCTGAAGGAGTGGTTAGGTGCAGGAGCTGGGTGGGAGACATAAACAGCCTTCTCCTGTTGCATCACGGCACCCAGCAGAGAACTGGGGTCAACAGCATCCTTCTGGGAGTGCCCTCCGTGCCTCTGGGAGGCTTTCCTGGACCTGCTGGTTTTCCCTTTGCTCTGGAAAGGGTCAGGGAAGCCCGGGAGAGGGTAAGCACTTTGGTATAAGAGTGCCTCTCCTGTAGCAAAGGTAAAGGGAAGATGCATGGACCGTTTACGAAGGTGCTCTCCTCCTTCTTCATCTCTGCAGGGCAGGAAGAGCAGAGTGGGGGTTGTACATCCAGAAACACATGCCACAAAATGCTGCTGCAATGGAGAGCTGTGGTTCCTGCAAGCCAAGGTCCCTTTGCTATGAGCAGCATCATGCACCAACCAAGCAGGACCCCGTGCGCGCACACGTTTCCGTGTGCGTTTGCCTACGAGTGCACGTGCTTGTTTTTATACAGACACACACAAACCCACTTCACTGCAGCCTAACCAAGAGGAGACTCAAAGGGGTCTGCCAGACAGAAGTCACCCCTTTTCCCTGCTCATCTAAGCTGCAGCCACCCCTCAGGCCAGGGATGTTGCCCCAGGTTCTGCCCCCACGCGTCCCGAGAGCGGCCACCAGGGCGAGTCCCAAGCAGCGGCGACAAACCAAACACCCTGCCCTGCTCATTCCAGAGCCCACCCCGAGGGGAGAAGGCAAGCTAGGCTGGGCTGAGCCAGCTGGCACTTACACGAGGGGCCTCTGGGTGACCAGGATGTACTCGGGCTTGCTGTGCCGGTAGACGAGCCGCGCGTTGGCCTGTACCCACTTCCAGCGCTTCTCCTTCGTCAGCAGCCGGAAAACCGTCAGCCCGCTCTCCCCCGTCCTCATCACTGCCAGGAGGAAGGAGGCAGGGCTGCCAGCTTGTCCCCAGAGCCTGGGCTGCCCCTGTTCCCAGCCAAAAGAAGCAGGCAGGGTGGCAGCAGCAGGGCTGGCGCACGCAGGGGACACCATCCCAGCCAAGCCCCCTTCGCCGCCCCGGGCTCCCCTGGCAGGAGCATCCCAGCAAAGCACAAAGCTTCCCGTGGTGGGGGGAAAAGAGTTGCCAGGCTCCCTGCTGCAGCCAGCAGAGCTGAGAGGTGGGCAGGAAGGACCAAGGGAGAGGCTCTTACTCCTGACGTGGTTCTCGGCGCAGTACAGCATGTCGGCAGTGTGGACAAACTGGTAACCAGTGCCGCACGTCCGCAGCTCCGCCTCCGTGTAGCCCAAAACCAGCTTCCCCCTGTGGGGAGCAAGACAAGACACCCAGCTGGAGAGGCAGAGCATCACCCAGGCAGGGCAGGGTATGGCCCAGCCCCCTGGCAGCTCACAGCATCACCCCTCCAACCCAACTCTGCTGCTCACTTGGCGTCACACGCCAAAGGGGTGAAGTCCAGCTTGTGCTTCGTCCTGAAGATCATGCTCTTGGTTTGGATCTGCAGGATGGAGGGGGGCTGCAAGGGGGTGGAGATGGCAAAGAGAGCCAGCTGGGGTGGCAGTGCAGACCCGTCTTCAGACCTTTTGTTCTGCCCGTGGAGGAGTTTCAGCCTGCCCTGGAGGTTTAAAGCCTGGGAAGAGGAGGAGAGTTTCATGTGATGCCAGAAATCGGACAGAGAGGGAGAAGGGCTGCACAGAAAGCAAACCCTCTCACTGCAGAATGGATGCCAAGAACCCTTGTGATTCCAACACTCCCCACTAAAATGAGGCAGAGGAGCTGGGGGGTGCTATACTGAGCTCCTTGTGACAGCAGCCCTCTGCTTGCTCCCCCTGCAGCTGCTCCCTGCCAGCCCGGAGCAGCACCCAAGGGAGAAGCAGTGTCCCTACACCTGGGGGTCTGAAGGCAAGAATCTAACCTGCAGCAGGGAGGAGGAGGGTCTTTAGACATGCCTTTAACACAAAAACCTGGGAAAACGTGTGGAGGAAAAGCACTTGGGTTCAAGATTCAGCATCTCTGATGGGAGAAGAACAAAACCCAGGTGGAGAGGTTGGAGGCACAGACCAAACCTCTGGAAACCAGCAGAGGTAGATCCCGGTTGAGACACACGGGGCTTGTGTGGGGCAGAAAGGAGCACTGGGGTCTCTCAAAGGCAACTTGGATGCTGCAGAAGTGGCACAGAGCCCTCGGGGTGAGCCTGCATCCCCACTGCTGGGGAGGTGACAGCGTGGGGTCTGCACTCACCAGGAAGCCAGAGGAATTGTCCAGGAGGCAGCGGAAGCGGCACACGAAGCTCCTTTCCAGAAAGGAGGAATTTTCAGGGGGCAGCTGATCTGGCTTGTAGGCGACAGCAGAAGAGCCAAGACTCTTCCCTCCTGTGGGAGAGAGGGACTGAGAGAAGCAAGGAAGGGTCCCCAGCAAGGGTTGGGGGTCCCCAGCATCGGGGGCTGCAGCAGGAACCCATGGTGATGTCCAGGACTTTGGATGAACCCACAGCCTGAGCCACAAGGATGCAAGACCCATGCAAGGAATGGCAGGGAACCGAGTTTCCCAACATCCCTGGGGAGCTAGACACCTTGTGACAACTAGGATGTCTGGCTCCCAGCCCACATTTACCTCCTGGAGAAGGCTCACCCTCAGGAGAGTGTGGTGGGTTGAGGGCCCAGTGGAGGTTGCGTCTGAATGCCTGCTGGTCCCCAGTGTGGATCAGCTCAAAGACACTCTGGTGCATGACATCTGTCTAGAGGAGAAAAGCAATGCATGGGCTCTGTGGCCTGCCCACAGGCCCCAGTCTTCATGTCCCACCTAGAGAGAGCCTGTGACAGGCTCAGACCCCGTCTTGTTGGCCATATCCCACCTAGTTTCCCCAGCGCTCAACTAGGTCACTGACTGCATGAGGTTTGACCCCTTCCACCAAGAACTGCTGCTGGTGGGAACATGCAGCACGTCTCAAAGGACTGCTTGCTTGTGCTGGGCCAAACCTTCCCCTCCTCCCTCCTAAAAAGCCACCAGCAGCAGTTGCACAGCACCTCCCTGACATGCCCGTCCCCGTATCGTGGTGTCCTTCAAAATCCTAGTGCTGACTTATGAGATGAAAACATGGGCTTGGGAGCAAAAGAGCAGCAAAGCCACCCCATTCCTACCCTGGTCCAGACAGAACAAGGCACCTGCTCTAGCACTTGCTCCTTCTGCTCAGGTAAGTGGTCCTGATGGGGAAAGCCAGCTGGGTGGGAACACCACCAACCAGCAGTAACTAAAGGACTCTCCTAAAGTCCCACTTCCCCACACATCTGACCAAGTGCCTTCCAGGTTACCTGGGTTGCCCAGATAACCACAAAGCATTGCAGCCTCATGGGAATCACCAGGGGTCACCCAGAGGAGTGGGTGCCTGAAGGCAAACTGGGCAGGAAACCCCAGACTTAGGGTCATAGAACCACAGACAGGTCTGGGTTGGAAGGGACCTTAAAGATCATCCAGTTGCAATCCCCTTGCCATGGGCAGGGACACCTCCCACCAGCCCAGGTTGCTCCAAGCCCCATCCAACCTGCCCTTCAACACTTCCAGGATGGGGCAGCCACAGCTTCCCTGGGCAACCTGTGTCTCAACACCCTCATAGTGAAGTATTTCATCCTATTATCTCACCTAAAACTCCCCTCTTTCAGCTTAAAACCATTTCCCCTCCTCACATCACTCCACGTGCTTGTAGAAAGTCCCTCCCCAGCTTTCCTGGAGCCCCTTCAGGTCAAAATACACAAGACCAAGCCCTGCCAAGGGAAAATCCCCTCTGCAAACCCTCCCCAGCGTGTCCCACCAACCTGATGAAATCCCAGGTAGTCCTGAATCGTATGGGAGGAGTAAAATATCAGCCCTTCTGATGTCACCACCAGCACGAAGCCATCGAGGGCCTGGGGGAGAGAGGAGATCACATCACCCTCTCCTGGCTGCATGGTGAGTTTCATTCTGCTCAGCCACTGGCCACCCAAGTCCTGCCTGGTCCCAGGCACCCTCAAGATGCAGGGGAGCAACCCAAAGCACTGCACCAGCCTCTGCCAACCATGGGGGACAAGCCCAGAGCTTTGAAGACCATATAATGGCTTTGCCAGGCCAAGAAGCAGACCTCCAGGAATGTCCCCTTGGCCCTGAGAGGCAGCCATCCCTCTGTGACTCAGTTTCCCCAGCTCTGCAATGATCCCAGCAGACTTCCAACAAACCCCTCTGAGCCCACAGAGCAAAGGCACTGAAATCCCAAGGAAAAAAACCCCACCAGTTTAGCTCTGCAGAAGCTGAACTGGCACAGCATTGCCCTGCCAGGCCAACAGGCCCCCATGGGGATGCCTGAAACAGGAGCCCTTTTAGGGGGCTGAGGTTCTCCTGCAGCCTGGACCCCACCAGCCCTGTGTCTGCCCAGAGCTGAGAGTTGCCCTGCAGCACAAACCTGCCTGCAGGCAGGGAAGCCCCAGGACCCAGCCCTGACCTGCTCCCCCCACTTTGCAAGGCAGGGACATCAGGATTCATTAGGGTCTAGCCTGTGGTCTCAGCCAAGTCCAGCTATTGTTGCTGCCAACTCCTGTTTCATCGACCAGGTCGGGTGTTTCCCTCTCCCCCCCTTCTCCTTTCCCTTTATTCTGGGTACAAACACTCTATTTACTGGGGGTTGATCTCAGTGGGTGGGAATCTGCTGCAGAGGTTAATTAGTGCTGCCAAGTGCACTTTAACCCTTTGGAGCCACTCCAGAGGCATCTCTCTGCCACAGCAGCACCCAGCACCACCCTGTCCTGCCCCCCCAGCACCAACCAGCACCCAGAGGCAACACCCAGCACCCAGGGAGGTGCACCTGGGCAGAGGTGGCCCACCTGGTTCTCAGCCTTCCTGAGAGCCCAGCCCCTTTAGAGAGGTTTTCATGGTTCACCCCAGTTTAAGATGTGTCCAATTTTGGGGCCCTCACAATAGGGAGGACATGGAGGGGCTGGAGCATGTCCAGGGAAGGGCAAAGGAGCTGGGGAAGGGGCTGGAGAACTTGTGAGGAGCAGCTGAGGGAGCTGGAGGTGTTGATCCTGGAGGCAAGGAGGTGAGGGGAGACCTGCTGGCTCTGCAGCTGCTGAGAGGAGGTTGGAGCCGAGGGGGTCGGGCTCTGCTCCCCAGGAAAAAGTGATAGAAGAAGAGGAAACAGGCTCAAGTTGTGCCAGGGGAGGTTAAGGTTGGATCTTGGGAACAATTCCTTCCTGGAAAGGGTTGTCAGTCCTGGCTCAGGCTGCTCAGGGCAGGGGTGGAGTCCTCATCCCTGGGGAAATTTCAAAGCCATGAAGAAGATGTGGTGCTGAGGGACATGGTTCACTGGTGGGCTTGGTAGTGCTGGGTTAAGGGTTGGACTTGAACTTAAAGGTCTTCTCTAACCAAAATGATTCTATGGTTGTTAGATATTTCCCTCTGCTGCTGGAGGCAGCCTTGGTGGGAAAGGAGAGACAAAGAAGTAAGGCTGGAAAATTGGACCAGAGAAAGGGAAGGATCAGGGAGGACCAAAAGATGGAAGTTTAGACATGAAAGGTGACAGGGCTGGTGGAAGTAGTTTTCGAAACATGCAGGGACATTTCTGCATGGCACAGAGGCAGGTCCTGAGCCCCTGATGTGTCCAGCATCACACAGACAGGCCCCTGGAAGAGCCACACCAACCCAGAGCATTTAACACCCACCTTGATACATCTACAAGGATGGCATCGAGTTGATGAGCAGGACATACATCTCTGGCAAGTCCCACTGACCATAGTTCTTGTGATTTATTCAGGGTTTTGGTTATTCACCAGCTCAGCTTTAGCCTTGCTCTCACCCAACACCAAGATCCCAGCTCTCCAGCAGGACAGTCATGACACTTAGTGATGCAGGACAGGAGCTGGGGCTGACCAGCATGCTTGCCCTGCTCTGGACAAGAGCCAGCCAGGGGACAGTGCTGCAGCCTGGGTTTGGGTGCCAGGCAGGGAGGGAAAGAGCATATAGCCCATCAGCACCTACAGATGTCCTCAGTGTTGTGTATTGCTGCCTGAAAGCCAGGGAAGAACTCCATGACATCTTCCTCCTTCTTTTCACCAGTGTTTGGGCAACAACCCCTGACTCAGGACCACACTGGCAGCCCCACTCCCAACATCTTGGCTCCCACGTCAAAGCTCAGACCTACATACACAGAGCAGCACAAGAGCTCAGCCTCTGTGGTCCCAGGTTTAGCACTGATTCCACTGAGATGGAGGGGGTTCTGACACCCACACAACATCCAGGTGGCCATTCCCTTCAGGAAGGAGGGGGAGAAGAGAGAAGCAGCAGCAGAGTTTCTGCCCTAGGGACCTGAATCTTAAGCTTCTCCTCAGTCAGAAGCACAAGAACCCACTGCTTCACCACATCACCCTGCACTCAGTGACAGAACAGCCTGGGTTTGGGGTTTTTTTGGATGAAGTTCCAAGGTGCTGGCAAGGGGAGGAGAGGAAAATACCCTTGAAGGCATCGAGCAGGGCCGGGTGGCCAAGGAGGAGCACTAACCTGTAGGAGCAGCTCACCCTCTGGCACAGCTGCTGAGCCTGGAGCTGGTCCCTTGCTGCTGCCTCCATCCCTCACTGCTTCTTGGGCACCATGAGTCTTCAGAGCAACTACACAGAGCAGAGAGAAGGGGCTTCAGTGCTGCAGGAACACACACACAACCCACCACCACCCCCTGGAGCACCCACTGCCTGCATCCACTGCCAGGGGAAGCTGTCATGAAGTGTCAGCCCTTTGCTTCACCCCTCAGAAGAGCTGATTTGAACAGGATGGTTTTCACCCAATACCCTCAACTTCTCCCAAAGCCCTCCCCATTCCCTGGGAACACCCAGTGTCCCCTGCCTGGCTTGGAGCCCATGGGAGCACAGATGGGCCATCAAGAAGAGCAACGTGGGGAAGCCCAGTGGCCACATCCTCCAGGCAGGGCCCTGTGATGGGGATGGAGCAGGTTTCTAGCAGTGCCCTGCCAGCAACTTGCTTTTCTGATCATCCCTGGGGGCAAGAAATGTAGGAGCACTGAATTATTGAAGGCCTTCAGTGCTCCTCTGCTGGCTCCCAGGCTGCTGGGCTGGAGGGGCAAGATAAAGATCACCCTGGGTGATAAGAGGTTTGATATTTCCCCACAAAAGCCAAACTTGATCACAACCAATGCCTAAAAAAAATAAATAATAAATAAGACTTTGCCACCAGCATGTGGGCTTCTCCCAAGCTCTGGGGCCAGAGGAAACACCAGTTAAACCCAGAGGATGGCCCAGATGGTGCTGCCCAGCCCAGGATCAGAGCAACTGGGACCAAGGGGCCACCCATAGCAACCAGAATCTCCCCGGGGGTCTGCCTGGGACCTTCAAACAGGGCTTTTTCCACCCAAGGGACCCTCCCTTAGCTACAGACATTGCAGCCAGACCTCCTGCCTGGTGTCCCCTGGCTTTGTCTCTGCAGGAACAGCCTGGGGTCAGCGATTCAGCAGAACTGTCACCACGCATCAGCCCGACGAGGCGGAACCGAGGAGCCTCCTCCTCCTCCTCCTGGGAACCCCAGGGAAGGGCCAGGCAGGAATGGGGTGAGCTTAGCCCCAGGGGAAGGGATGGGGATGGTCTTCCTAACCCAGCAGGTGTCTTCACTTGAAGCAGGAGGAAGAGGAGCATCCTGCAGCCAGATCGCCCTGGGGGTATAGAGGTTTGATATTTCCCCCCAAAAGCCAAACTTGATCCCAACCAATGCCTAAAAAAAAAAAAAATAATAAATAAGACTTTGCCCAGCATGTGGGCTTCTCCCAAGCTCTGGGGCCAGAGGAAACACCAGTTAAACCCAGAGGATGGCCCAGATGGTGCTGCCCAGCCCAGGATCAGAGCAACTGGGACCAAGGGGCCACCCATAGCAACCAGAATCTCCCCGGGGGTCTGCCTGGGACCTTCAAACAGGGCCTTTTCCACCCAAGGGACCCTCCCTTAGCTGCAGACATTGCAGCCAGACCTCCTGCCTGGTGTCCCCTGGCTTTGTCTCTGCAGGAACAGCCTGGGGTCAGCGATTCAGCAGAACTGTCACCACGCATCAGCCCGACGAGGCGGAACCGAGGAGCCTCCTCCTCCTCCTCCTGGGAACCCCAGGGAAGGGCCAGGCAGGAATGGGGTGAGCTTAGCCCCAGGGGAAGGGATGGGGATGGTCTTCCTAACCCAGCAGGTGTCTTCACTTGAAGCAGGAGGAAGAGGAGCATCCTGCAGCCTGGCTGTGCAGCTACGTCCTGGGCTGCAGCAGCAGGAGTGTGAGCAGCGAGGTCAAGGGAGGGGTTTCTCCCCCTCTGCTCTGCTTTTGTGGGACCCCCCTTCCCTGTTGGAGCTCTGGAGCCTCCAACACAAGGACATGGAGCTGTTGGAGTGAATCCAGAGGAGGCCACGGAGATGCTGAGAGGGCTGGAGCAGCTCTGCTCTGGGGACAGGCTGGGAGAGCCCTCTCTTCCCACCTGGTCTCATCTCCAAGGAACAAGCAAAATCTCCCTGCCCAGCAAAAGCTCCCAGTGGGAACACGGTTTCACATCAGCTGCTGACTCAGAAGGAAGAAAATGAGGTGACTTGGTTCCAAATCCACTCCAGACCTTGATGGAGGAGGGAAAGGAAACTCAACCATTTCATGACTACTCAAGAGCAGTGAGGGGTCATGTCTCTTCACCACTGCTGGCACCACTAAAACAAGGCAAGGAGACACTGAACCCCACCACCAGTGATGGCCAGGACATCTCCATAGTGATCAGCAGTCCAATCAGGTCTTGGATAAGAAGAGAGAAGAAGGTTTTGACCAATCCACTGAGGTTGTTTCATGTTTAATGTTTTCCACCCAGTAAGAAGGATTATTTTCCTGAAAAAAAGCAGGACAAAACCCATGGGAACAGGCGAGTTCCCTTCTGCAGCAGCCTCAGTTTCTCCCTCCTCTCTTGGCTTGGCAAGGTCCCTCTGCAAACAAGGGCTGGCATTGCCTGCCACCCTCCCCAGGGACACTGTGGGGACAAGCTCATCAAACTGGTGGAAACCTAAATGGCTGTTGTGCAGGCAGGCCAAGCACTGTCACCTTGTCTCTGGCTTCTCTCACAGCACCTGTGCTGTCAGCACAGCAAAGCTGATCCCAGAATCAAAGAAGAGTTTGGGTTGGAAAAGACCTTTCAGACCATCAAGTCCAACTGTTAATCCAGCCCTGCCAAGGCCACCGCTGAACTGTGTCCCCAAACACCACATCTACACAGCTTTTAAAAACCCTGCAGGGATAGGGACTGGGCAGCCTTTTCCAGAGCATGACAACACTTCCAGTGAGGAAATTGTTCCTAATATCCAATCTCAACCTCCCCTGGCACAACCTGAAGTTGTTTCCTCTTGTCCTATTGCTTGTTCCTTGGGAGAAGAGACCAACCCCCTTGGGTCCAACCTCCTCTCAGGCAGCTGCAGAGCCAGAAGGTCTCCCCTCACCTCCTTGTCTCCAGGCTGGGCACCCCCAGCTCCCTCAGCTGCTCCTCACAAGTTCTCCAGACCCTTCTCCTTCTGCTCCAGCCCTTTCCCCAGCTCCCTCAGCTGCTCCTGCTCACACTGGTGCTCCAGCCCCTTCCCCAGCCAGCAGGGCACACTGCTAGCTTCCCATCCAGCCACTATCTCCCAGCATCTTCAGCCTTCCCATGGCCCTTCTCCCCCTCCTAAGTTCACCTCTGTCCTGAGGGCCAGGGGGGGTCCCCTCAGATGATCTAATTCAGAGAGAACCTCTTCTCAGACATCAAGATGCCTCGTCCACCCAACCTGCAGCCCAGACTTACATCATCATTGCTGCACCAGGAAAAAATCAGGGCCTGCTTCCAGGAGGACAGAGCATGACCAAAAGCCACCATGGCCAAGAGATCCTTCCCCAGAGATGCTGAAGGCACAGGGCAAACTCCTGGCACTGAACTGCTTCCCGCTTCATTAAACTGGAAAGATTGGCCAGATGGCAAGAAAAATGGGAACAGAGTGAGTAGACAAACACACCCACAGATGCTCTTGTCCTTCAGAAGCAGCAATCTGGCACCAGGGGCTGCAGCAGAGACACCCAACCCAGGACGTGGCAAGTCACCCTGAGATGTTTATTTAGATAAATAACCTGGCTTAATGAAGACAAGGTTTGATGGTCTCTAATCCCCTCCAAATATAAAGAGCAAAACACTGACTGGCCTGAAACCCTCTGATTTCTGTCACCTAACATGCAGGAAAGGAGCAGGGACACCTTCACTTCAGGCCACACAAACCAGAAAATAAAATATCACCTCCTGAATGAAAGAAAAATAAAAGATGTGTTTTTAAAATAATGTCTTTAAAAAGACCTCCTGACAGTATCTCCCCAAAACCCACATTCAAAGCTCCACCCTTCAGATAAAAGCAGGTGCAGATGCTCCTTGCATGTGGTGCTCCAGCCCATCTCCAAGAGCTAAACAACAGCTTTGCTTCCACCCCACTGCTCCTCAGGAGATCCACCTCGACCTGTGAGGATCAGCCACTGTCACCTGAATGTGGTTAATGAGCTGGGCAGCCTGCTCTGCATTTTGAAGCATTGATGTGGCCAGGCAAAAAAATCAGGAGCCCAAAACACAACGAGAGAAGCTCCCCAAGGTTTAACCAATGACCAAGAACCCACCTGAGGTTTAATCACTTCTGCCTGTGCAAATTTCCCTGTAAATTGAGAAAATTTCACTGATTTTGCAAGGGGAGGGAGGAAACATAGAACTAATTATTTAAGAGAGGGCCTCAATTTGCTGGGTAAATTGGTGTCTGTGATCCTTCTGAGACCTGCTCCAGGAGAACAAGCTGCAAAGATGAGTCTCCTCCCAAGGCAGGGCAGCACACTCCAGTTCCTGCCCTTGCTTTGCCTTGCTCCTTCCGCAAGGAGCACTCAAGCAGGGACACACTCCTCCTTCCTCCCAGTTCATGGGAAGGTTTGCACTGGGTGCTTCTGAGCTGCCTTCTGGCAGCTCTGGGGCTGCTCTCAAGAACCACAAAGAGACACCAAGACACTTCAGTTTTCTGATCCAACCTCACACAGGGCTTAGCAGCTACAACAGTCTCCTCAGGATTCAGCTTCATGTACCTGAGGATGCTGAGCAGGAGATGGAGCATGTGAACAGGCAGGCAAGACCAACCCTGGCTGCTCATCCTCTCACCCTGTTCCCTAATAGACCAAGGGGGGGAAAAAAAACCCCTAAACATGCAGATGACCAAAAGTAAAAATAAAAATAGGAAGGAAGAAGCTGAGTGTTTTGAACAACAGCCTCCCAAAGCTGAACTTTCAGCTCCAGCACAGCTTGTCAGGGAGCAACATCACCCCAGCATTCAAACTGAAAGGGACTAAAATCACTTGCAATAACCTGATTTTGAAGATAGAGCTCTTTGGAAGGGCTTCTCTTTTTTTAAAGCTGCAGTAAAGACTCAGAGAGGTCTGCAAACACTGTTTGCATCTAAAAGGATGAGGCTTTCCCTCCTTCGCCCCTCCCCACCTGAATCACTTCGACCTGCCTTAAACCGGACAG